ACCTTCCCAACCCGTCAGAGACAGATCATAGTCTATGTTCTATTCCTTTCCCCTGGAACACAGGTATTACCCGGTTCTTTTATCCAGAGGAGATCTGGCTGATGCCAAAACTTCAATGATATTTTTATAAGTGTATATCATTTATAATTCTTAAACTGCAGGAGGTGGTCTTAAAAACTTCTCTGTGTATACACACAGAGAGACACATCTACTTCCCACATCCTTTTGTCATGGGAAAAACTGAGTCAACAGTATCCAGAAGCTTGGGAGAAGAAAAGAAATTTTATTGATGTTAGTGGACCCCAGAAAAGTAGTCTCCGAAGTCTGAAGCACTGATTATAGAGAGTTTGTCTTTTTTATAGAGTGGCAAACAGCAATGAGATAAACTTTAGGCAAAGGCCACAGTACAATGATTATCCTGTGTTGAGCATAGTTTTATGTAGCAAAGTTGTTTTTAGCACATTCACAGAAGTTTCAATTTGATGACAAATCATGATTTAGCCGAATTCCATGGCAGAAAACAATGGTGGTAGCTTTATTGAACAAAATGGGGGCTGGTGAGATGGCTCAGTGGTCTAAAGCACCTACTTAGAACAAGCTTAGCAAAGCACAGGAACCGTGGTTCAATCCCCCAGCACCACATGCCAGCCAGCCCCGCCCCCTGGTGGGCTGAGCTGGTCACACACACACAAATAAATAAATTTAAAAAAAACAAAACAAAAAAAATGGCTGCAGTTACATCAGGATTTCTGCTTCATTCCCCCCTCTTGATGCTCCTCAAAGACTCTGAGAGGCATTACCATTTGAGTCTACTGTGCGGACAGTAAAGTGCAAGCAGGGCCTAAGGACATCAAACTTGGATAACCTGGGGTGGGGGGGGTCTCTCCTTCTAGAGAGCTGTCTAACTTCTCCACTAAGTTAAACTCCATGCATAGGGGATTATACAGCAACCTATAAGAATGAGAATTCCAAAATAATGATCAAGGGAATAAGTATACAGGTCAGAAGCCTTTCCCTTTTGCCAAACCATTGTCCCAGCAAATTTGTGACGGGGTCAGTAACTCCAGCATTTTAAGCTAGTTCTTCTGACAGAGTGGTTAGACCTTAAAGTGTCTTGGTAACTGCCATCAAAGGCAGTGTTGTTTAGGATAAAAGTACAGCATTAGGTTCTTATCATAACACAGCCACCACCCTTTTCTGTTATAATCATATCCAGAGCAAGTCTCTTTCCAGGCCATCTGGCTGGTGGGCCCAATTTGCTCAGTTATTATCTTTAATAGCATCCTGTGTGTAATTTATAAACTTTTGTTGATTATAGTAAACACAGTTTATCTAATCTATATTTTTGTTGATAGTGACCCACTAGAATAGTGAACTTTCAAAAACTGCAGCTGAAGGACACCCGGATCTATTGCTTACAGGGTGAAATTTGTCATTCTCGATGCTCTGTTGCCAGTATCAAAACTGGCTTCCAGGCTGTCACAGGCGTGCGAGCACAGCTCTGTGCCAAAGTTAACAATTTGTTAATCACCACTGATTTTGCAAAGCATGTTCTGAGGACTTGGCTGGACAGGATTACCATGAGTGAATTTATCACTGTAGTAAAAACAAGATCAAAAAACTGCCAAGTTCATTGGTGAGTGCTTGGTTGATCTGAAATCCTTGCTAGTGCTCAAACTGTTGACATAGTTATTGCTTACTTTTTTTTTTTTTAACATTTATTTATTGTGTGTGGGAGGGGCCAGCTCAGCCCACCAGGGGGCGCAGCTGGCTGGCATGTGGTGCTGGGGAAACGAACCGCGGTCCCTGTGCTTTGCCAAGCTTGTTCCAAGTACGTGCTTTAGACCACTGAGCCATCTCTCCAGCCCCACTTATTTCCTACTTTAACAGCTGTCAGAGAAACATGATATGGGGTAAGGAAGTGCTTTTTAAAAATCGTTCATAGACTTCTGTAAAATGCAAGATAAATTAAAGTTATTATAACAGTGAAAAAAAAAACTGCAGCTATATGGTTTTGAACTTTAAGTTCATCAGGGACCCTTCATGGGACTCTGAATGGTCACATCCTGATTGCATTCATGTAGATAATAGGGTCAAAGGAAGCTGGGGGCTGATTTACTGAGCAGCACTTCTTGAATGCATGGGGAAGGATCAGGAGGACAGATTGACCACTGAATAATTGTGAAATAAAAAAACAATAATAACCAACTAAACTAGGGCACAGGTCCTAGCCCAGCCATTGGAAAAGTTAGGTGAGATTTGCTACATGACCAACCAGACATCTCCCTATGGGGTAGTGAGATCCATGGGCTGAGTTAGGGCTAAATCAGAGAGGTTTTGAAGGGACATACATCCTGG